TGACCATCCTAATTTCTTCGATCGTTGGTGGAGTAACATCTATAGGAAGATGTATGTATGCTGATTCGATGTTCAGTGGATACAATGGAGGTGGTGTATTCAAGAACTCTTCAGAGTGGTCTACCTACTTGTTCTACGATTCTTGGATCTCATTGAATGGTTAGCTTCCTTTGTTCTAAACTTATCGTTCTAGTTTACAATATTTCCCTGATAGTTTCATCGTTGTATCATCTAGTTGATTCATATTTCCTTCTCATGCAGCTTTTTCCGCTATCACTGTTAGATCTTCCACATATTTCTACTTTCCAACTCTAATACTCTTTCTCAATTTCTTGTTTACTTCTGTGTATACGGTATATATGTATTTGTTTATCTCACTAAACATAATTTTTGTATTCCCCTCTCCTTGTTAGTCCATACAACAACTACTCACTTCATTTATTTGAGGTATCAATGATAACATACTTAATAGAGGAGATAACTCATGTGAAATTGATAATTCAACTTAATTAGATTATTCATTATTATTTCTTGTTTTCGAGTTTGTTTGTTTGTTTGTTTTTCAAAATAAAAAAGGAAGATAAATAAGTAAATAAACAAAGAAATGAAGAAGAACAACAACAACAAAACAAGACCTGTAAACAATTCATTAACATCAGATATAAGATGATGTTTGGAAATAATCAACAAGAAACGGTGGAATTAATTTACGTACTAATTGGTACTCGTCGGCAAGGAGTACCTGCATTATTCTTGAACGAACTGATACTCCATAACGGATTCGACCACGTGTCACTCAGTTTCACAGTCAGAGATGTTATCACTGAGCTATCCAGGCCACTACTGATCTCTTATAGGATTAAGATGTATTTACAAGTAAATTGATCACTAGGTGGTGATCAATACCATGTATTTAAGGTCCTTCTTACTACAGATCGAATGCTATCGATCAAGTTGCAATGTGGTCATCAGTCTAAGTGACTCGACATTGCGTGAACCATGTTGAGAAAAGATGGAGGTTGGTGGTAGTCAACAGGAAACCCTCAACCCGGGTTTCGTGCTATTTGACACTCGTCAGCAAAGTGTACCTGTATTATTCTTAAGCGAACTGATGATCCCTGACGGATTCGATCCCAGGACATATCGTTCTGTTGTGAAATAGCAACTCCCTAATGACAATAGTGAATGCGTCGCCCAATTTCGTGGATGCTTGATGTTAAACATGAACACCACTGGATGCCGGCTCAGTGGTCTAGAGGTTAAGTGATTGCACGTGAGACTGATAGATCCTGGGTTCGCATCTCACGAGGCGAGATCGTGAACGCGCACTGCTCAGGAGTCACACAATAGGACGACACGGCCGTCCAGTGCTTCCGGGTGGTGATCTGGCTTCAATTGACTCATGAACTCAACTATTAAATTCTATAGAAGCTATGGTAAATAAATGCATTCAAACAGATTGATGAATTCAGTATCTTTTGTTATAAATTTTATTGTTTCTTCTTTATACAAATTAATACATCAGGTGGTTGATGACAGAATCCAATTAGACTTCTAGACCTAATTTTTCCGCTAGTTCTGACTCATTAGTGAGGTATACACAAAATCTTAAGAAGACTGGAACTTTGTTTGTCATTTAATCCTGGGTCATTTAAATTCACAATGTAAGACATTACAACTGAACTGTTCGGGTCCATCACTGACATCTTGTAGGGGCCTCAGTTGGAAGTAGATAGGAGTTGACCGACGGTAAGATTGAGAGAGAAATCAGTGACCAAAATCATTGACAATCGTATTACTTTGTGATCCGAATGAATTCGAAAATATGGATCACTAGATTTTAACTCATTAATTATATAGTATTTTTCTATTCAGAAGAACGGACGATTCCGGATTTAATCTCAATCAAGGTTGCAACGTCTAAATGTAAGACAAAATTTCTATCCAACTGTCATCGGCTGCAATAGACTCTTCCATTGCAGTCAGTCTATATTGCAAGATAGCTTAAGACAATAAGTTCATTAGAGTCCTGACCACTGAACTAAATTAGTAGGTTTACAACTAATTGGTTTCTGTGATACTTCTGTGATAATGGCTATAACTGTTAACCACACTTCAATACTAATGTAGTGATCTACAACTTAGATGAAGAATGCCAATTTATTGTTTGATGTGAGATCATATAGTGATTTAGTAAAATATTAAAATTATACGCTTAATACATTCTTTGCACAGCTTCTATGCGTTGTCTTTTACATACACCACTATTCTTCCCATTCTATTGTTATTTCGATTACTTTCCAACTTCCTTCTTGTTCTCTTTATTTCAATCACCTACTGACAGGCATTCCGATTCCGATTGATGCTACATACTACTTATATCTGTTAGTATAAGTAACATACACTACACTAGGATCGCATAGATCCCTTCTTTTCTACTATGGATATACCAAGAGACATATGATGAGTATTCGTAAAAAAATTTGTCGCATAGAATCAATATTCTCATCATTATCTCAGAACTAAAGCTATCAAATATTAAGCGGAACGAAAATCAAATAAACAAAACGTTCGGGTCCGCGTGACTACGCTCTTCCCTTAAACTAAGAGATTACCATGACGTGTAATGCTAACCTGTGTTGGAGATGGTTGGAAGAAAGTTAGGGGTGGTTAAACCGAAACGTGGCATCAGTCCGTAAAGTCACTAACTTCTAGTCTGAGCCATGTTGGTAGATACAGACTACTTGGTTGGGGTCCGTGTAACTATTGTAATCAACGGTTGGAGACTCTTGGTGACATGACTCAGAATCGATCACAATGGTGTAGGTGTATACACTCTCTATCTTCCCTTAAACTAAGAGATTAAAATTGCTTCATATCTTTCTGCGAAATAGTTCTTTCTTCCTGTACTATGTCCTTATATGCAATCTCTCTTTTATATATTACCACCACTGAATTAACTACTCCCATGAATCCGGTGTTCATCTTGTTGTGTTAATGAGGTATGGCAACTTGGACCGATGCATATATGTGCCTGGTCCTACGTTGTAGCTGACTAACAGAGTGAAACAAGACGTTACATGAAGTTAATTACCACGACGTAAGTCCATTGAAAGACAACAACAACAAGAATAATGACAACTCTAAATCAAAATATGGTCGTACAATTACCTACGTTATATATTTAACATTCAAAAAGGCTCCTTTTAATTAACGGAGAAATGTTTTTAAATTTATAATGGAAATGTGAACCTTTACCAGACATCTTATACATGATTTATATGAATATATCTATTGAAAGTGTATTATATTGCCTACCTCCGAAAATTCTCTTATTCTACGGTTAAGGTATATGATCAGTGAACATAGAGATTACATCGAAGTATTTACAAATAAGTTAAAGTGACTAGTATGCACTTCATTTGTGCCTTGTCCAAGTAAACAGTTACGTATGTGAAACCAGGAAATGACAATAATTAGTGAGGAGCTTTTATGATTAATCACTTTGCATAGTCTTATCAATTATGGTTTGGTAAGCTAAAGTACCTTAAGGCAAAGGTTGGATCATTAAAATCTCACCATCAGAATTCATGTCATCAATCAGATTATTGAAAAATATGCTTTAAAGTGGACAAATATCAAATGGAAACATAATTGATTGAATTGAAATATTAGGAAATAACATTATAAGCTGAGGTGACGGTGGCTAGCAATGAAATCCAGGGAGCGCGTTTCATCCTATTTGAGACACGTCAGCCGCATGTGCCTGCATAACGGAGTTGATGGTTTGTTGCATACCTAGCTAGTTCATGATTCCTACCTATATGAAAATGTTTCAACAATGGATTCATCACTTTTGGTATTACAATAAAGATTTGGTTATTATGTAAGAAAGCTTATTGATTAATTATTGGTTTATTATTCCTAATATTTCTTTACTCCATGCTGAACTACTTAATATTAGTGAGTAGCTCGAGTTGAAGTTAGTAATTTTCACGATCCAAATACACAAGCCAAAGACCATCTGGATTTGGTAGCAATGTGGATAACTCTATTACGACTGAGGAGATTGGCATCAATTTTAAGTCCTGAAGTGCACGTTAACTCTGGTACAGATATATCTAGCTGAATATAAATAAGAACATTCGTCTAAATTTGATCGAATAGTTTTTTTTTGGGCGCCGAGCTGATATAAGATATTAAAGAATAAGAATGTATTTATAAAATCTCAGCGGATGAATTAGAATTCAACGTTTTGCCTGGAAATTTGGTCCAAGATTTTTTAAGGAAATATGATCAAACATCAAAATTATCGAATATGGCCGAGGGGAGAATCAGCTCTCACTCTCGAAATTCTCTCACATAACCTTGCGTACACTGCCACTGACAGGAAAGTTCTACTCACTGCCTAGATGGTGCTTACGAAATTGAGAGGATGAAAAGCGAATGTCCGGCGCTTTATTCGACATTTTGGATATCAAGGATCCACCTAGGGGAGTTGGAAAATCCTGATTACAAATCAATGGTGCACATAGGCTCCAAGATCCTGATGGAACAAACAGTACGAGCCTAGTGTTGGTCATCAGTTATCCTGGGACTACATCTCCTGACGTTGCTCCACTGCCTTGTGGATTATACCATTAGGTCGAAGGCTCAGGGCGCAGCCCTCTAAGAAAGTCACCTGTTTCGGTTTGGGCACACAAGCAGTATCACAGCCTACAACACACAAACCAAGTGACTTGTATGGCGCATATGTATTCGGTGCCCCTTTATACCAATAACTATTTGTTCAAATAAGAACTGAGAACTGACGAATCCTCCAAAACGGGACGAAACACATATCTTAAAAACTCCACTATTAACCAAATACACAATACACCTATATAAAATCAAAGCTAAACAGAAACATAATCAGTTTATTGAAACAAGAGAACAATACTGACAAATGTATATACAGGCATAAGTGTTGAAGAAATCAAATGAAAATTGTTACCTTATCATCATTTGATTTTATTGGATTTCAATTTATTCACTTTTTTCATTGATTGAATTTTAGCATATTTTGTTTTAATTGGTTGGTCAAAGTGAGTTATCTCTTGTTCATCACCATCATCATCATCATTGATATTTTCATTATTGAAACGATCCATTATGTCATTATCATCGGATCCATTATTGTTATTATTCAGTGTGTTTCTTGTTAAAGTAACACCCCAACCAATAGATTTAGTTAAACGTTGTTGTTCTGCTGATTCTGCTTTTGCTTTTTGTTGAAGTTGATGTATTTTAGCTAAAGATTTCCATGTTTTACGTGCAGCATTAATACCAGCTTGACCGGATGTATCTAATGGGATAATAGGATAGTGTTTATTTGATATTGTTGATATTTCATTGATATTTAATTCATCATTTGACAATGATGAACTAGAGATATTACTATGCTCATCTTCATCAGAATTAGCATAAGCTTCAATTAATTCTTCATTCATTATTGGATCTAAATCAATTAGATTATTGTCTACATTACGATGACTTTCAAGCTGGGATCGAATAGTCTGAAGTGGAAAGATTTAACAATAGCGAGTGAAAAAGAAATTCACTTGCAAGCTGATTATACCAAATGAATATTGACTGATACAATAACTATTAGTTCGACAGCTTCTATGACTCATATTTACCAAATACAGATCTACGTATAAGCTTATTTAATTGCTCATACAGTCAGTCAGCAACAACGTAGAACTTCGTACGTACACACATCAGTTCGAGTTGCCGTATCACATTATCACAGAGATACAATTGTCGATTCAAATCCCATAGTACTAGAGGTAGTAAAATTATAAGCAGTAATCGGAAACATTAGGGTTTGAAGATATTATTCAAGGAGTATAATCCAGTGAAATAAATTTGGAAAGAGAAAAAGAAAAGGGACATGAAGGATTCAGAAGATTAGAATTTGGGAGAACACAAAGAGTGGATGAACCTGTGCCATTGCAAACGATTTTGAACCATGTCATTCAGGGTCTCTAACCATCGGTTGATATCAGCTCGCGGTTAGCAACCAGGTAGTCTACACCTACACCTACACGAATATCCTCTACTCTTACCGGCCATGTTTCACTACCATAAAGTAGGACGGAACGAACTGCTGTGCAGTAAACACGTTCTTTGGTTGATAGACGGATATCTCGCCTACACCATAAATGACGCAAGTTGGTAAAAGCTAGTCGAGCCTTTTACCAACAATCATCATAGGGTCATTTTCAAAGTGATCCAAATCAATGAATCATATTGATGTACAAATAGTGTTCCTTTTCTACGACACAATAATCAGTAATAGAGAAATAATAGAACGTATGGAAAATACAACCTATCAGGTACTAACTCATGGAGAACAATTTAACGACTAAGCGAATTCAAAAAAAGCAAAACGAAATTACCTTTGAAGCTCTCGACCAAGCTTGATCTGCTAGACGACGACGAGTTAGCAGTCCATTCCGACCATGTAAATCCGGTAGTGGAATTGGCCAACGAGGTATTCCCGGTGAATTATTATTATTGGTACTTGATAATGGAAGATAAGGTAGTAAAGCAGCTTCTAATTCTAAAAAACTTTGAGCTACATCACGTGTTACTAGGGTTAACGCTACACCAGTTTGTCCAGCTCGTGCAGTTCTACCAACACGATGTCGATAGGTCTTTTCCGATAAAGGTACATTATAATTGATAACAAATTCAACATGAGGAATATCCAGTCCCCTGAAGAGTAAAAAAGAAATAATTCATTACTAATTGAAGATAAACAACATGTTAATTTCACATTAAGGAATGACTTCGGTTAGATAACTATTGAAGACTAAGAAGTACTGAACAGTTTAAGCGCACAAGATCAAAGGTGCTAGGTTCGATTTGTGCGTGAGGAGTTATGGATGCGCATTGATGAAGAGTTCCATACTAGGACGAAAAAGCCGTCCAGTGATGGTCTAGCCTAGATCGATTTATGGATTCAACTGTTAAAATTATAACTTTATTGTATAACCATTGAATAAGTCGATTACTGTGTGTATATATTCCATTTATCATAAGCTTTCGGTTGTTGTACAACTTATTACTCTTAAATTGTCAGTCGATTATCTACAGTCTCCTATATTCACATCCATTTTCGGCCTGTTCATGTATTGTTATTTTTTACTCTGTGGTGTTATGTGGATCGAGTATGTCTGTATATAAACCACTTCTGTTTGAAATAGAAATGTAATACAGGCTGGTTGGTGACTTTAGAAGTCAAGAGCAAGACATAGAGGGAAGCTTTAGAATAGTAGACCAACAGGAACTTGGCTATCAGCTCAAGGTCAATAGTGCTGATCAGGCGCGTAGCTAAACAGTTTAGGGACAATGAGCTACAAAGTAGGGGTAGGATCCTGACTGGGCAAGTGATATTCGGTCAGGGATGTACAGGACAAGTGTTCAATCATGCGGGATTTTCAAGTTAACATACAGAGGTCACATAGGTATTTTTCTCTTGGTCGGGTTGGAACCTGGGAGCAAGGAAGAGGGGCTTTGCATGGACTAATAAGCACAATCAAATCATCGGGTTAGGAGCGCAAGCATGATTAGTTCAAGCATAACACACAAGGTGATACAGAATACTGACTAATGTCTTTGCATTACATAATCTGTTGATAAGTTCTGCACATAGTAGGGCGGTGGAGAATAGAATTCAACTTTTTTTTATTTTTTTCAAAAAAGTACTTGTGTGATTATTTCACTCTCACTTCCTTAGTATGTCCGATAATGAGCATTTCATTGCCCAGCTGAAACTACGCTTTTGAATTGGTAGAAGAAAGGTACAAGCGAATGGTGGAAGGTAAGAGGGTTTTAAAATAAATTACATACCCTTTAAAAACGTATTCCCCTTTAAGACAGGCTACTTTACACCAAAGATAGTAATTTCTGTACATCCACTTATAAAAAAAGACGACTAATTAATAGAAAAGAATTTCAGCGAGCCTATAATTTATGGACGACCTTTAAGCAACACTGAAGTGATCTTCAAAAGTCCCATCTACCTACTACGATTGGATGAGGGTTATAGAGTAGTGTAAGGAATTAGGATTAAAATTGAGAGTTAAAACTAAGGATTAGGAATTAGAGTTAACATGAGCTATAATCTGTTGTATTTTTTTTGGAATCAACATACCGACTAGCAACATCAGTTGCAACTAAAACTTCTACTTCACTTGAAATGAATTTATTTAATGATTCTTTACGTTCAATTTGTTTCATACGTCCTGTTAATGCCACACTGGAATGACCAGATTCACGAAGAAATTCTGAAACCATTATAGTTTCATGACATCTTTTACAAAATATCATGATATGATGTTTACGACTTGGTGTAGAACCTATAAAAATCAAATAAACAATTAGTAATAGTTTAAAGGATAATAATTGTGTTATATCTTGATGAGAATAATGAATGGTAACTTTTGGGATCCGTTTATGGACCAATATTATACGTATAATTGTTAGATAACTAAACTATTCATATTCATGTTCCTCTTATTATAAGCTTCCATTTGACCCATAGATTATTATTATACGATTTACCATTCTTGAGTTATGCCCAGTTTATCAATTACTATCTCCCACATTCACAGTTACATTTAGCTAGATCTTGTACAAATGTTATTTTCTATCATATGGTACGGTGTGGTCTATCTGATTGGTATGTAAACCCTGTATGTTTGAAATACATGATTCGTATTACAGAGGGTGAGATTGGTGTTCTGGATTCAACAGGCAGACAGGGTTAGGCAGGAAGCAGGACCGATAAGGACTCTAGGCTGTTCGTACGGGTTTTATGCAACATTGGTCCGATCGATAATTCACTGCTCTCTAATTGGCGATATTATCACATTATACATGAATAGGACTCATGGCACAAGTTATAACAAATTGACGGACAGATCGGTCAGGGAGCACCAGTTTCCTCAAGATTACAGGTAGACCTTGCTGACGAGTGCCAAGTAGCACAAAACCCGGGTTGAGGGTTTCCTGTCGACTACCTCCAACCATCATCTAATCTCACAATAGTGTACGCAGTGTCGAGCCACCTAGACTGGTGGCCACATTGCATCATGTTCGATAGCATTCGATCTGCACTAATAAGGACTTGACACACATGACATTGGTCACCACCCAATGATCAATCAATTGTGATGATATTTATTAGTTTTTATGGTGGGATTTAATGGTTTAGTCAGTTTGCAATATATGACACATTCAACCACAATCTTCCTCCACTAATTATAACTGTTTCTCATAGATAGGATGGTTGACAACAACCCTGGAAATCAATATTGAAGTTATTCACTCATGAGGTTGTCTGTTTCTCTCCGTTGAGTTCACTTATATTTCCACCAAGAGCTAGTTGCTTGAGTGCATAGGTAATTATCCGTATGACCACAAAGCATTTATCCCCTTTATCCCAAACTTTTAATAATTTTGAAGGGTTTTGTGCACTAAACTATTTATTTGTATTGTGGTGTATGCTATTTATGTATACAGATATAAGTAGTAAATAGCACCAATAGTAAGTGGAATATCTGAGAGCAGAAGATTAAAAAGATTGAAAATGAGAAAAAAGAGACAATGAAACTGAAAGCAATCCAGATAACAACAGAAATGAAGGAACAATGAAGCTTGTAAGAGACAATTCAAAGATGTGAAAATGATGTATTTGACGTATGATTTTCACATTTTACTAAGGTACCGTGTGATTTTTCATTCAACAATCAGTCAGTCATTCAGCTACAACGTAGGACCAGGCACATATATGCATCGATACAAGTTGCCATACCGCATTAGTACAACAAGATGAACACCGGATTCATGTGAGTAGTTAATTCAATGGTGGTAATATATGAAAGAAAGATTGCATATAAGGTTATAGTACAAGAAGAAAGAAAGATATGAAGCAATTTTAGTATCATAGTTTAAGGGAAGACAGAGAGTGTATGCACCTACACCATTGTGATCAATTCTGAGCCATGTCACACACAGTCTCCAACCATTGGTTCCGATAGTCATGCGGACTACAATCAAGTAGTCTGCATCTACCAACATGGCTCAGACTAGAAGTTAGTGACTTTACGGACTGATGCCACGTTATGGTTTGGCAGCCCCTAACTTTCTTCCAACCGTCCCGAACGCCGGTTAGCATTGCACGTCGTGGTAATCGGAGTTCAGGCATATGTAACACGTGGCCCAACCATCTCAGTCAATGAAGATCCACAACTTCACCAACTGATTTACCATCATTCCCTAATACCATGAATGAGTATCTCTAACAGCACTCATTCAATAATAAAATCAGTCTTCCCTACCTCAGTGTACATTCATTACAGTGTCACCTACAAAAATTGCTAATTAATAATTTTAAGCTTCTCTAAAAGTCATCAACAAAATAGTATACATTCATTGATTCGAATAAGATAATCTAATGATTCGAAAGATCAATTTATTAATTTATTTGAACACATAAATATTGGTACAAGAGGGCACCAAATATATATGTGCCACACTAAAAAATGTTTGACTGTAAATCGAAGCGACAATAAGGTTTTCAGTAAATATCATCATTTTCATTATATTTGTGGGTGGGCTGTGATACTGCCTGGGTGCCCAAACCGAAGCAGGTGGTTTTCTTAGGAGGCCACACCCCGAGCGTTTGACATAAACGTCTAACCAACAAAGCAGTGGAGCATCGTGAGGAGACACAGTCGCATGATAGCCGGTGACCAACGACTAGTTCATGCGCCATTTGTTCCTCCAGGATACTGGAGCCCATGTGCACTATTGGTTTGGGATCCAGTTAAAGCGCCGGACATTCGCTTTTCGTCTTCTCAATTTCGTAAACAACACCCCCGCCACGAGAAGACAATGAGTAAGACTTCCCTGGCACAGGCTGTATACGCGTGGCTGTGTGAAAGTATCTCGAAAGGGAGGGAGGGCCCACTCCACTCTCGGTTATACCAGGGACAAAAGATCAAACGATATGATCATTGAAAGATACAACTCATTGAATCTATTTCTTTTCAGAAAAAATAGAACTGATTAACATACACATATATATGAATGCGTTACTTACTGGTAATGCCGAATTTCTCTAATAAATTTGTTTGTATCACATTTTCTACAATCCAATTTAATATTGTAGGACGATCAGCCAATCGTATAGGAAGACAATAATGTGATAAACCAATAGGGAAACCAGTTTTTAAATTTTTATTTAATTTTAATGATGAATTAGAATGTTGTATAAGATTATATTCTGTTGTACTCTGATTATCCATCATTAGATTATTATTATTATTAAGGGTATTATCATTCTCATTGATAAATACAGCATTTGATGATAATGCAGCACGACGTAGTTTGATAACATCTTTTGTCATTGTAGCCGAATATAAATAAATTTGTGGATGAGGATATTTGGTTGAAATTGACTGAATCTGTTTGTTATTTGACTGAATGTCTAAAAGTGTTACATACATATTAGAGTTAAGAAATATATACATAGAAAAATATGTGGTTATTTATTCGATGGTAACAAAATGAATAAAGGTTATATCACAAACTTAGAAAACCACTGAAAATGAGGTAGCAACTGAATATTTGTTTCACTATTACCAATGGAGTTCAAACATGCCATGGTATGGCTGAGGGTGGGGAGAGTTCGTTCTCCTTCTCAAAATGCTCTCAAATAGCCACGCGTATACAGCTGTGGTGTGTGCTACTTATATTGACATAAGTAGTCAGTCAATGGTCTTGAGTGCTTTTAGAGGTATGAGGGTGGTTATCAGTTCCCGGTTGCCCACACCGTGGAAGGGTTCTTCTGGAGGAACCTGAAAAAGAAAATTGGGTTAGATGTGGTCTTAATGACCTGAGAGCGTGACCGCAGTGCCCAAGGGACAATTGCTTGAGGTCGGTCACACATGACCTTTGAGTGAGTAATTTTTGTGTTAGCTCCGTACTTGTTGATACCTTACCGCCAGAGACGGATATCTGTGGGATAAGGCGAGGTGTGCATTTTTAGAGTCGACTTTTTCTAACCCCACCCGTACTTGTGGGAGGGCAGCATCGCTGTCATGCTGGTTGTCTGAAGGAAATACCTTACTGCTGTCACACCTCTGTACAGTCACCAGTACGACTTCGCCTTCGGACCTTGGGTTTGTTGCTTTTAGTGTTACCGCTCTTCAACCGACCTGTCTGACATGGTAGGACCTTGAGGAACGGTTGTTCCAGCCAGTATAACTCGGTTGCTTCATCACAATAGACAAGCCCGACCACCACGTCAAGGTAGCAACAACGGTCGGGTGACATAAGTAGTATATGATGTTAGTCATGAACACAAGGTCTGGAAGCAGAGAGACAAGACCATCGAACAGTAAAGAATGGAAACAAAGAGGAATTTGTATGAAAATGCAAGAACAGTGAAGTCTGAGTCATTTTGAGACAATTGATAGACATTTTGCAAATTAAGCATTTACTTTATGATTGTTAAACTTTATTAACAAGTCCTGTAATTTTGTGTCAAATACATTCGATTGTCACCACCCGTGTTCTTGTTCACCACACAGCCACTGCCACGAAAGTCTTACTGCCTCACTAACGGGGCGTCGTTTACGAAATTGAGAGGACGAAAGCGAATGTCCGGCGCTTTAATCGGGTTGGTGAACACGGAGAGTTCACTTAGGGAAGTTGGAAAACCCTGATTACAAACCAATGGTGAACATGGGCTCCAGGATCCTGAAGGAACAAATGGCGTATGAACCAATTTTGGTGACTGGCTACCATGGGACTGCATCTCCTGACGTTCTTCCACTGCCTTGTGGATAAGACTTTTAGGTTAAAGATCCAGGGTGTGGCCCCCTAAGAAAACCACCTGCTTCGGTTTGAGCACCCGGCTAGTATCACAACCCATACACAAATCAAGTGAGTTGTGTGGCATATATTTTCGGTACCCAATATTTATGTGTTCAAATAAATAAATGAGGTTATCGAGACCACACAATAATGCGAATTGACTGAGATTAAAAATGTATATTCTTGGATAGTGACTCAGATATCTAAAAGTTACGAGCTCATGGTGAGATTCGAAGGTCCTAGACCTAATTCATGGTAGAGCCTCGAATGCGCATTGTTGGGCAGCTTCATACTAGGATAAAATAGTTGTCTGAAGCTTCCTGATTTCGGAATGCTGCTTAACTAAAATCAGTCCATGATATCAACTGAAAATTCAACAATCACTGTAAGCCCCTTGTAATAACGATAACAGTGAATTGGTAGTGTCGTTCATATATATATATATATATATATATATATATATATATATATATATATATATAATATTGTCACTTTTCCTGAAAACTGACTGAATAGAAAACAGGCGGATATTCATGAAGAACATTAATCATAACGCAAAATTAATCAATCAAGTTGGCTTGAAAAAAAAGCTTTTAACGTTATCCACCATATTCTATCAAATTTACTATATAGTTTACGAGTTCATCTGTTGCACATTGCTAAAGCCATTGAAATCCATGTTCACAAACCAAACATTTACATTCAAAAGTCGTACGTACCATCACTCCCGCTACATTGGCCATCGGTATAAAAGTGAGTTGTGAGCTGAACTTTGATGAAACCCTTTCCTTCAGAAATATTTAAACTATCTTCTAGCTATCGGAATAGGGGGTTGTGAAAATTGTAGAAATTTTAATAGTTGAATTCACGAGTAGATCTAAGATAGATCACCATTGAAAACCTGAAAGTACTGGACGACCGTTTCGTCCTAATACAAGACTCCTCAGCAGTGCGCATCTAGTGAGAAGCCGTGACCAGTGGGGTTCAATCCGTTTCGAGTACATACAATTACCCATCCCAGACAATGGATTAAGGGTTACGCAAGATCATACGTCGATCGGAGTTGGACATTGACACCGTTCGATGGCGACTCAATAGTCTAGAAGTTAAACGTTCGCACGCGAGATCAAAGGTCCTGAATCCGAGTCCCGCATGTGAGATCGTGGATGCGCGTTGCCGAGGAGTCCCATACTTGGGACGAAACGGCTGCCCAATGCTTCCAGGTTTTTAATGGTGGTTTAGCTTAAACCGACTCAATAATTCAACTAGTTTCTAGTTTCTTCCACGATGTATTTTAAGTTCTCAAAATTCGTACATTGATCCCTGAGCATAACTACTATAATACTAACCTTCAATCAAGAACTTTTGTTATTTTTTTCTTTTTGTGTATTACGCAGTGTAGTAACTGCTTGATTTTCCGAATACTTACTTTGATTATCATGATCCGCTTCCTTCCAATTACTCAATATTATGTTATCATCACTGTGACATCATACAATTACGTAACGCAACTACTCGATGAGTATTTCATTGTTATACATCATACATAGATATATTAGTATAGAGCCATGACGAGAAATCAATTGGAAAGAGACTTCTTTGCTCTATTCGTTCTTAATAAATGTCAAAACGGGACTTCAATAAACTGGAACCAATTTTATGCCCAATATCGTAAAGGCTTATAGGTAGGCGTAGATCTAAGGCGCTCAAATTAGCATGTAATGCACAAATATGTTGTTCTCTTACACACACCCCCAACACACACACTAAGGTTCTTTATGAACGAATGTACGCCTTATATAATTTCGGATAAGAAAAACCAAGAGATTCAGTTTTGTGTTATACGTATCACTGGCCAACCGATAATATGTAAAGTGTTAATAAGCTGCAATCCACAATCACCATTTATATATTCTTGTCAAGATCATTTTGGATACTGTGTGAAAACATATATGAATCACGGGTAGTTTCTGTTGGGGGATCCAGTAAATTCCCCGAGAAAAAAATGCCAGAAAAGGCTCAAAAGAATCTGAGAAACATCTTAACTAATCAGCACTCAATAGAAGTCTTGCCCGAAACATCTAGAAAGTGAGAAGTCACATGTCGAGTTTCTGATTAGATGATTACCTATACTGCTGCTATGTTCAGTAGCGTTCCAGGAGTTCCCAGAAGCCCAAAGTCATCTAAAATACTATAAATATTTTAGATTTTTTGCAGTAAAACATTTTCCTCTATGTTTCGCGCCTTTTCACTTATGTTCAAGTCGATGTGTAGATTTAGCATAGGTGTTACTAGAATAGTTTAGGAAATCGAATCTAGTATTCAATTAGGAACGTTAACAGTTTTATTCAACCTTTAAGGTGATATACTTTTCAGTAGTTGAGATCATGAGTCAATTGAAGCTAGACCATCATGGAAAGCCTGGAAGCATTGGACAGCCGTTTCGTCCTATTGTGGGACTCCTCAGTAGTGCGCATCCACAACTTTTCATTTCTCTCGAGCTAGCTGGATAAATAAAGATTTATGTACTGAGCGCAGACCATAATATTAGCGAAAAAAAGCTAAACATTAATACTCACAGAAATCCAAAATCTAATCCATTAAACGAAAAGATACACCTACACAGACATTATTCATACTTACCATTGTTAGTCATATCATTAGTATTATTATTATTATTATTATCGGCTAATTGAACTAACAGTGGTTTTGTCTTTCGTTTACGTTTCTTTCCTTTTGATTTTGGTTTTTCATATAAATTTAATATTTTGTCAATATCATCAGCGAAAGCCATATTTAACATTCTGTCAGCTTCATCTAATACTAAATGACGAATATTTGATAATTGTTGTGTAGCAAAATTTACTGATTGTTTTAAATGATCAACTAAACGTCCAGGAGTTGCTTTAAAAAAACGATGTATGAAAAAAAGGAATAATTATTAATATAGGGTTGTGGAGATTATTAAGTTTTTCGATTGAGATCATGAATTGATTGATGTTAGATCACCATTGAAAACGTGCAAGCACTAGTCGGCCGTTTCGTCCTATTGTCGGACTCCTCAGCAGTAATCAAAACTCGAAGGTTTTTACTTTTTTAAAACTCGATTTTATAAACATTCAACACCATTGGTATATAAGTAATAAAAGCAATTAGTTGTCAGGAATTACAGTGTATTATAAGCAAAGATACATAGTGGAATTTGGGATGCGCGTTTCACCCTATGTGGAAATCGTCAGCTAGATGTATCTGCATCTCAGAGTTGATGTTCATTCTGGGACTCAAACCTAATACCGTTGGCTTCAAACGCCATTACGTTATCCACTTAGCTAATGAGTCCTGATAGCCACTTGCTTGTGCAATGGGTTGAAGTTGAATTCACTTGATATTGTTTTACTTGAATCTTCCCATTGATGTTTTTGGACTGAAATTGATCAGTCTCTTCTTGGCATATGTGCATCCTGTGCGTATTGTCTCGATATTGCTTTAATGCTTGTGAATTAAGGCAATATCGAGGCAATACGCACGGGATGCACATATGCAAAGAAGAGACTGATCAGTTGCAGTCCTAACATCAATGGGAAGATTGATCATTTTGAGATGGCTGGGACATGTGTTTCGTGTGCCCAACCACCGACTGCCTCGACGTGCGATGTTTCATAAAGGGGGAATAGGTTGGAAGAAAGCTAGGGGCGGCCAGACCAAAACAGGGCAAAAATCCATGAAGTCACTGGCAAGTGGACTGAGCCATGTTGGTAGGTGTAGACTACCTGATTGGGATCCGCAAGACAATAGTAACCGATGGTTATAGACCTTAAATGACATGGTTCAAAATCGTTTGCGAATGGTAAAGGGGCATCCAATCTTTGCGTTCTTCCCAATTTTAATCTGAATTCCTCATGTTCCTTATTTTTCTCTTTCAAAATTTATTTCACTGGATTATACTCCTTGAATAACATCTTCAAACCCTAATCTTTCCGATCACTACTCATAATCTTACTACCTCTACCACTATGGGATTTGAATCGACAGTTGTATCTCTGTGCTAATGTGGTATGGCAACTTGAGCTGATGTGAGTACGTACAAAGATCTGTGTTGCTGTTGACTGACTAACTATGAGAGCATTCGGAGAGTGAAAGCAGACTCTCCCCACTCTTGACCGTTCCAGGGCATTTGTGGATTTAACTTTCGGTCAGTGACATTATGAAATAAAATATACAAATGTATCACTTTACTGCACTTCTTAAATGTAAATATCCCTTTTTTAATTAGAATTCAAGCAAATGTAAATTTTTATTTTATTTTATTTTAACACATAGATATTAGTACAAGGAGGCACAAAATACATATGCGACACACAAATCTCATTTGATATGTGTGAGGGTTTCGATACTGCCCGAGTGCCCAAACCGATGCAGGTGGTTTCATTGGGGAGCCACACCCTGAGCCTTCGACCTGAAGGTCTGATACACAAGACAGTGGAGCAACGTAAGGAGATGCAGTCACATGGTAGCCGGTGACCAACCATCAGTCCATACGCCATTTGTTCCTTCAGGATCCTGGAGCCCATGTGCACCATTGGTTTGGAATCAGGTTATTTCAACTAACCTAGATGGATCCTCTGTACCTACCAATCAGGTTAAAGCGCCGGACATTCGCTTTTCTTCCTCTCAATTTCGTAAACAACACCCTCGCCACGAGAAGGCAATGAGTAGGACTTCCCTGGTAGATGTTATATACGCGTGGCCATGTGAGAGCATTTCGAGAGGGAGAATGGACTGTCCCCACTCTCGGCCGCACGAGGGCATTTGGGGGAAATGTACATTATCATAAGGATGTAGCTTAGCATACAGCTATCAAAATTCACATTAAGAATGTTGAACACGTATGAGAAAAATATATATTCAACTCAACAAAATATAAGTTCATTTACCCACAATGAAATGATGTTTTCTCCATGCAAGTTTTAACGCTTGATCTACCATATCTTCACCACCGACAAGAAGAATTACTTCTAAATGAAATTCTAACTCATCTGTTTTGCACTGTCCTAAACGTTCAGCCTCATTGGCTAATTGTTGAGCCAATTCACGAGTAGGAGCCAAAATTAATGCAAAACCAACTGGTTGACCACATTTAATCCAATGCTATACATAAATGAGTTATGAATCAAAACAAAACAAACGAAAAGAAATAACATTATTTTAGTAATGTTATATTAAACTGATACAAATTGTGACTCTCAGAGGCACATGTGTGAGATATATCTACAAAATTTGCATTCCTCCAATAGACATGTTGCAAATAACTTCTAATCGTATTTATGTTTATATTGAATATTGTGTACGTAAGCGAAGCATTTTATTCTACTGGTTAGTCTTGTGTATTCTACGATAATTCACCAAGAGTCATATCTTAATCATTTAGTGTCATAACTAGTCGAACACATCGTATGATTGGATATCAATCACAGTTTGATGTTGCATTTAGTCAAAATAAATGTATTTATTTAAACACATAAACATTGATACAAGGAGGTACCAAATAGATATGCATCACATAAATCATTCGACTTGTGTGAGGGCTAGGATACTACCCGGGTGGCCAAACCGAGGCCGTCGACCTAAAGGTCTAATCCACAAGACAGTGGAGCAATGTCAAGAGATGTACTCCCATGGTAGCCGGTGACCAATAGTTGGTTCATGCGCCATTTGTTCCTTCAGGATCCTGGAGCCCATGTGTACCATTGGTTTGTAATCACGGTTTTTCAACTGCCCTAAGTGGGCTCTCAGTGTTCACCAACCCGGTTAAAGCGCCGGACATTCGCTTTTCGTGCTCTCAATTTCGTAAACAACAATCCGTTCGTGAGGTATTGAGTAGGACTTCCCTTTCAGTGATTGTATGCACGTGGCCATGTGAGAGCATTTCGAGAGGAAGAGTCGACTCTCCTCACTCTCGGCCGTACCAGGGAGTTTGGGGGCCCATTTAGTCAAACAGTCGAAGAAACCTTAAAAACTATTCAACAATAAATAAATGAAAAGGTAATTAAAAAGAGAGAGAATTATTTCAACGAAATAGAACAAAAAAATCAATTATTCAGATGGTCTATGAGATTTGAACATGATATCCATTACAAACTGAAATGAAAAGGATTTTCAAACTGTTCAAAATATCCACAAAACCAGTTTACTCGCTAACAACTATGTACTACATAATTATATTAAAGACGGGTCTTTTTTGAATTATTAATAGGAGTGAGACTGCGTATTTAACAAATTCAACGATGAAGCAATAACCTTATTAGGGATACCGATGTGAACGCCTAGATTTCAAATTGGCGACTGGATTATTATCTTTCTAGCTCCCAAGCATGGATGCCCGGAAAGAAGAGTAGATAAATGTTTAATATATCCCTGTTGTTAGTGGTTTTACAGGTTATGTTAGTTAATAATGAAGAATATCATGTTGTATTTATAACTCTTGGAGATTTGGACCTTTATTATTCGATCCACAGAGGGCCAGTCGTAAACTGAGATAGCTTAGTGAGACTTCTCAGTGATTTCTAGTAGTTTAATGGTATTAATTTATTTACCTGTTGTTTTTACAGCTTCATTCTTAGGAGTTTTAAGATTATGGAGATTTTAAACATGATACGACCAGTTACTTCCGTATGACCGGAGTACAGCAGCATCTCTCTCGAATCTAGCCGTTGCTATCCAGCTTGGGTCCAATTGGTTTCGCTGATTCTGAGTTGTATCTCCTCATTTCCGTTGCTATTTGACTGGTCATCCCGGCCTCCCAGATTGTCCGGACGTTTCGTGTACCTATAAAAATTGTTGCTCCGGTTGTTAGAAGGGGTATCGGCCTCGCGACTTCCAAAGAATCCCGTCTTTCATCCTGAGGCGTCATAATTCTTCCCTCAACTGCCAGAGCAGAGTTTAAATGGTTGAATTTGTTTAATCTGGTTGGTGCTGTTTTGCAAGGTTATTTTCTACGGGATGGAGTTGCTGACCCCATGCTCAACACTCCTCCTTCACCCGGGCTTGGGACCGGCAGAAACCCTGCAGGAGCTGCAGGCGGAGTTAAGGCCGGCAACTAGCAGATATGATGAACTACCTCAACGGACGATATTAGACGTGGGGCTTGAACCCACAATCCTGAGATTAAGAGTCTCATGCTCTACTGACTGAAGGTTACAGACTCCGATGGATAAACTGAGTCAAAAGAGCTCTATTGTTATGCGTTAAAACTTACATTTACGATTAGGGGCATAGAATAATCAATTAAACAGTGAATTATTACAAAGAAACATATTAATATGCAGTTGTATGTGTTAGTATTGAGATTATTACATACTTCCGGGCAAAATATTTTACTTACTTGAATTATGGGTAGAAGGAAAGCTCCTGTTTTACCAGATCCCGTTTCAGCAATCCCAACAATATCTTTTCCTGGAAATATTAAAGTGAAATCCATTGGTTGATAAGGAAATTGAACGGTGGAGTTAAAAGTGAATTCGTTTACCCACTCACGATAGGTAAGCTTATTATAACGTTTCCAGGAAGTTTAGTTAGTAAGCGCTTACCTTGTTAGATATTTAAGAGCATACAAAAGATACAAATCAGTCTTATCACAATATGTTTCTTGATCGGTGTACCAAACAAACGTCAGTATTTATGTTGGATATAATTAACGATGTACGCGTAGGAGAAATTAGGGAGCTTGAGAAAAAATGCCAGAAATACTCCTCAGCTATGAGTCACATAGTCGGTGCACTTCCTATTGAAATCGTTACCGAAGTCGGAGATTTAATCGACCAGGTACCAAAGATCAAACGTTACGACAAAATCAAAGCCACAGTATTACAACGTACATCAGTCTCGGACAAAAAAGACTACAGCAACTGTCAACATCATGCGAACTAGGAGACAAGAGACCATCGCAATTGTTACGAAATATGAAGCAACTATCAGGTTCGTATAAATTAGACGAAACCTTGATTAAAGAAATGGGTTCCAACGATTACCACATAACGTGAGGCAGATTCTTAGCGTGTCTGGAAATTCCGTCAATCTAGAAGATCTAGCAGATATGGCGGACAAAATGATGGAAATTTACCCTGATAGTCACTGTGTTAATGCTATACAAAACTCCAGTAAAGAAGATACGAGTACCATATTTAACATCCAGCAACAGTTAACACAGTTGATTTCGCATCACTGTAGGCCACTATCGCAACGATCCATTCCCGACCAGCTAGATCCACGTTTAGAAGAAGAGCAGTCTCCAGACAGCGGGCAGCTGGAATCTGTTGGTATCATCTGAAGTATGGTGCAAAAGCACGTCGCTGCACACAACCGTGCACCTTCACATCAAACAAGCAAGAGACGCAGGGAAACGGGCCGGCCAGACAATAATGGCGGTGTCTGTTACTGGCCACCACGCTAGCCGCCTTTTTCACATCCAGGATCGTATTTCTGGCTCAGACATTTTAGCCGATACAGGGGTAGAAATCAGCAATGTCCCACTTCCCTTCTCATGACGACAGCACACCACAAGTACCGAATTATCAATTATTGCTGTTAACGACACGGTCATTAAAAGTTATAAAGAACAACCTCTTATTTTAGACCTTGGACTCCGGAGAAGATTCACGTGGGTTTTCATAGTTGCCCAAGTCAAGCAACCCATTCTCGGGGTCGATGTTCTCAGTGCCTACAGCTTATTAGTAGATATGAACGAAAGAAAGTTGATTGACAAGAATACACGTTTGCAGGTGAATGGTACACTTACTACCGACTATGAAATTCATGGTGTACGGATAATAAAACCTGTGAACAATCTTTTTAGCGATATCCTGACGAAATACGAATGCATCACTAAAGTAGATTACCAAAAGGAATGCATCGTACATCATTTGCGACACCACATTACCACTATCGTCCCACCCATTTGTGCCAAGGCGAGATTACCTCCACACAAGTTACAGACTGCTAAAAGAGAATTTGAGAATATGATGCAACTTGGAATCATCAGACAATCTAACAGCCTATGGGCTTCGCCATTGCACATGGTTCCCAAAAAAAATCAAGACTGGCGCCCATGTGGAGACTACCGACGTCTAAATAACCAAACCGTTCCAGATAGATACCCAATTCCACACCTACACTATTTCCTACTAAACCTACATGGAAAGCGTTTCTTTTCGAAACTTGATCTCGTACGAGCATACCACCAAATTCCGATGGCACCAAAATATATCGAAAAAACAGCCATCATTACACCTTTTGGTTTGTTTGAGTTATTAAGAATGCCATTCGGACTGAAAAATGCCGCTCACACGTTTCGACGATTTATGGACGAGGTCACCAGAGGTTTAGACTTTGGATTTACCTATATCGGCGACGTTTTGATTGCTAGCTCATCAATCGAAGAGCTTGTTCAGCATTTACAGGTCCTTTTCGACCGTTTTAAAAAGCATGGTGTTATAATTAATCCTCCTAAGTGTATATTCGGCGTCTCAGCCTTAGAGTTTCTAGGACACTACACCGACTCTCAAGGCATTAAACCACTTCAGGAGAAAGTTGAAGCTATCATCAACTATCCCGAACCAACTCCAGTACGCCGTTTCTTCGGAACGTGTAACTTTTATCGACGATTCCTACCAAATTGCACAGACGTATCACAACCTTTAACAGATTTGCTAAAAATAGATAAAAAAGTGACGAAGAAAAAAAAGGACGGCATATTCGAGCTACCTTTTGATGCCAAAACGGCATTCGAGAAAGCAAAGTCTATGATTGCCAATGCCACTATGTTACAGCATCTAAATACTGACCCAACAACCCACCTGATTTGATGCACGGGCGCGTTTAAAAAGCCGTTGGGGCAGTATTATAACAGCGAGTAGACAACATCGTTACTTCCATAGCGTTTTTTTTTTCCAAACGACTGTCACCAACCCAAGAACGTTATTGTACCTTCGGACAGGAGTTACTCGCTATTTATTCAGCAGTCAAACAATAGCTTTTTGTTAGAAAGACGTGCATTCACTATCATGACTGATCATAAACGTCTATGTCATTCATCTAACACGTCTTACGACCGACATTCGCCACGGGAAGCACGATAACTGGATTACATCTCTCAGTTTACAATAGATGCCCCCAAATGCCCTGGTACGGTCGAGAGTGGGAACAGTCCGTCCTCCCTCTCGAAATCCTCTCACATGTCCACGCGTATATAGCATCTGCCAGGGAAGTCCTACTCATTGCCTTCTCGTGGCATTACTGTTGTTTACGAAGTTAAGAGGATGAGAAGCTAATGTTCAGCGATTTATTCGGGTTGGTGGACACGAAGGGTCCACCTAGGTTAGTTGGAAAACCCTGGTTCCAAACTAATCGTGAACATGGGCTCCAGGATCCTGAAGGAACAAATGGCGTATGAACCAATCGTTGGTCACCGGCTACCATGTGACTGCATCTCCTTAGGTTGCTCCACTGCCTTGTGGATCAGATCTTCAGGTCGAAGGCTTTATGTGTGGCCCCCTAAGAAAACCACCTGCTTTGGTTTGAGCACCTGAGTAGTATCACAGCCCTCACACATATAAAATGAGATGTGTGACCCATAGTATTTGGTGCCTCCTTGTACCAATATCTATGTGTTAAAATAAAATTGCAACAGATATCTAGCATGTCAAGGGACACTGTAACGTCGTAGCCGATGCTTTATCACGAAAGGATATCAATATGCTGATAAATAAACAAGACATTGATCTTGAAACCATAGCAAAACTACAAATGGACGACGCAGACCTGAAAAGCTGCAAAGAAAAGTCTAACTTGATTCTAAAACCCGTACCTATTCCCTTCTCAAACGCAACTATTATTTGTGACGTTTCAACCAGCAGTAACCGCCCATTTGTACCAAAAGCTTCTCAACGACAGATATTTCAACAATTACACGAGCTTTCACGTCCTGTAATTCGAGCCACCACAAAACTTATAACAGAACGCTTCGTTTAGCCAAAAATCAACTCGGAGGTAAAAAGGTGGACTCGAAGCTGCATACAATGTCAACGCAGCAAAATTCAAAACGCACGATAAGTCCTGTTGGGAAGTTCCCATTGCCTGATAAACGCTTTCAACATATTCATTTAGACATAGTCGGTCCCCTACCACCATCAAACTCCTTCACGCACATTCTTACAGCGGTAGATAGGTTCATAAGATGGGCGATACCATGCCCTATCTCAGATACGTCTGCAAAGATAGTCGCATCAGTATTTCTTGAGCGGTGGATATCAAATTGCAGAGTACCTTCAATCGTCACTACAGACCGTGGTCCCCAGCTCCAATTTATCATATTTCGGGATTTTGTAGAACTTCTGGGTGTGAACCACTTCAAAACAACAGCCTATCATCCAGTAGTTGCTGGTCTGGTCGAAAGGTTTCACCGCCAATTAAAAAGCTCTCTGATGGCACAGGCTGATACGTCAAAGTGGAGTGACGCATTACCACTCGTACTCCTATGAATTCGTTCAACCATCAATGATATAGATTGCACAGCCGCTGAACTAGTTTATGGCACAACTCTTACACTACCAGGTCAATTAGTATATCCAGACACATCAGTATCAACTGATCCAAGTCGTTTTGTTGGTCGACTACTACAAACAATTCAAAGTATCAAAGCAATACCGATGCGAGAACATAATAATCGAATACAACTTGACAAAAGCCTAGAAACGTGTAAACTTGCCTTCGTTCGAGTCGACGCTGTTAAAAAACCATTGAAACAACCTTACGACGGACCATATCAATTAATTAAAAGAACAAATAAACACTTCATCATCAACAAGGGTGGAAAGAAGGAGACTATCTCTATAGATAGAATAAAGCTAGCCTTCTACGAAGTTCAATAAGACAAAGAAGATAACACTGTGGATAAACAATCCCTCCCACTAATCACTACGAGAGCAGATGAGGATGAAAAATCGAGCATTAGGCCTACTTGCTTAGCACGTTCAGGCAGGACTGTAAAGAAACCCAAACGGTATGTACATTTTGCTGAATAAAAAGTCAAAACAAACAATCATTTATATATTGCACTGTTAAATTCACTCAATTTCCCAATAAAATCTATTTTTTTTCTTTTCACACGTGTATATAATTAATCACATTTTTTCACAATCACCCGTTTTGTCACATTTTTTAAAGAAAAAAAATTTCGTCACACTAATAAACAATCCAATTTTTGTGGGTTTATTAACAATTTTGCACGTTATTATTATTATTATTATTATTATTATTATTATTATTATTATTATTATTAACAAACCAAGACAGTGAATGACCGTATTTTCATACCTTTTTGTGGCGCTATGCTACATTCATGCTACCTTGTACACTAACACATTGTATAATACTTATGCGCATGTCACACCAATCTCCACGTTTTTTGGTTATTATCGTAAATATTATTTTACATACATGTATATACTATATTCTTACACTTTTGTTATAACCAGTGTTACCCCCAGACACTCTAGGGGGGAGCTATGTGAAGATATGCATGACAAACTTATTTTTGTAAATAGATTATGATATTATTTGTATTTATTTTGTTAATTTTTAACAGCCTGTACACCTACCATTAAACGATTGTACGTGTTGTTTAAGTGCATGATCTTGAACACACTTTCTTCCGTCGTGTTACACTTGTAGCATGACACGCTGTTATCTACTAACAAATACACCACAATACACACACCCAGTGTTCTCCACTGTTTGTGATTGTGATAACGGAACTCTAAATCACCTACTGTCCACATTTATAGACTACAGCCAAATTATATGATATTCTACGTTTGGTTATGTCACTGGAAAGACAACAATCTTACTAGAACCATCAATCATCTATAATTGTGTATTCTGGTACCAAACAACCTGAACACGCGCAAATCTGCTGAATTAAGTAACGTCCCTAATTGTGTTTATAACGTTTAGCTGATATACATTACCATTACTGTTTGTACTCAATAACTCTGTTATTATTTTTGAGTTCATATATTGTTTGGTCCACCACAAGCTGTTCAAACTGAAGGTTGAAATACGAGTACTTTAACCACAACGCGAACAATACTCTAAGATAACGGCATCCAGCGCTGAAACTTACTTTGATATTCTGTAAATAAATGCTTCATCTTACTCGAAAGCTTATCCGAAAATTCCTGAACAAAAAACAAATCCAGTTCAATGACTTCAACCTAGTAGACGTGATAAAATGAAATCTGGTAGTATGCACGCAAACAGTCTTGAAGGCTGTAAATGAATAAGAAATTTTCGACGGCATCACGGTGTGAAAAATGAATCTTTTCTACAATGGAAAAGCTTTAGCAACTAAATCATTTGCAATCTTCAGAAAAGCCATATACTCAAAAACTTTTGTATCCCCTGCAGTTAATCGGTAAACTATACAAATAAAAAAACCTGATTCCTAAACCAAAAGACGAAGCGTTGTGTTACTTAAACAAACAGCCACTTAGAATATTATCTGTAAACAGTGAAATGTGATAAAAACGAAAACTTGCATTAGACTAATGTAATTTTTAACGATGGAAAGTCTATCGAACATTACTTACCTTCAAGAGCGAAAGGAATCGATTTCAGTTGTATTTTTGTAGGAGAATCCCAATTCATATGCTGACATACTGAACACAACTCTTTAATCAAACCCAAATGACTGAACGCCATAAAAGCGTTGTACGACTACAGTTAACGTAAGAACGGTCTCGACTGAATCACTTCGCTTAGATACCCTGTACATAAAAAACATTCTGAGTTAAGGGAATCTTTATCATTCTTACAGCTTCAATACTCCTGATAGTCTGCTAGCAGATGGAAAATTGTGATTTTTCTACACTATGTTTCAAAAGCTCTCTGTAACGCAAAAATCAGTGACGAATGAAGTCCCAAGCATAAAAGTTATATGAAGATATACAATTAACGTTTGTCTTACCTTGAAATAACCACAGAACGAGAAAAAAACACGCGGTGTAACGCACATTACGCAAGCCGCGCCTTTTGCAATGTACAATCTCAGAGCTTCTAATACACAACATTCTTTCAAAGAGCTTGTATGCATTCGTGTTTAGCCAGAGAGTACTCATTGTTCTAAAGATTAATGAAAAATAGATTGAGTAAGAAAGTGTTAAATATAGAAGATTAGAAGAAAAGGTGAGTTGACTGTCCTGCAGGCGCTCACAATCCAGTTACATTTAATATGGAAACAAATGGACGAAAAACGGCAACAACACAGGCCGTGAACCAAGACGATCTTGCAACCGAAGCTAAAATCAGATAGAATAACCCTCTAAAACATGTTTATTCGATTTCTTCAGGCTCAGCTCTTATTGTTTTATTACGGCCCCATGTCCCAGTTCGTGTCCAATGAGTGAGATTCTAGCCACTCATCTGCATTAATTCTAGTCAGTGTGGCAGCTGTTGTAAGTTATTATATCTTGTAATTCGGGTGGGTGCTTTTGTCTTGTAGCAGTAGGTTTTCTGGCTAACAGCAGCCATTACGACCAGGAAGGGGGTGGTTGTTTGTAATGTGAAAAATAATGAAATGATAATTGAAAAAAAGGATGATTATTTCAGGAACCTAACGAATAAAAAGATTAATTGATTAATAATGCAGATAATGTGAGGGGACTGAATTGCAAGAATAAAATTGGAAACGGATAAGATATAATAAACGGGATAGCAGTCGGTAAATAATATTTGATAATGATAACTTAGTAAGTTACAAAACGCATCCGGCATAACCACAAGAAGCGAAAGATTGTAGTCAGTGTGTGAGACTTTCCTTGTCAAGTGTTCTCTAAGAGCTATCCACTGATTCAGTCATGGAAAGAATGGCGAATGAAAATGAAAACAATCAGAAACGGAACACTTCTTAATCAGAGTGACTATAGAGAGCACAAGTTCATTATACCCCTCGCCAGATATTTCGAAGACTTGCATTCCGGACTGTAAGCCAGTCATTTGATAGTAGCGAGCTAGTCTAGATTGTCGCCCATTTACCCAGCTGTTTTGCATCCTCTTTGCTCTCGAATACTACGTCGCTCTTAGTGGTGGCTATTAAATGTTTGCCCACTCAAAATGCCGGTGCTACACAGTCCAGTGAGTGTCAAGGCTCCTTGTCACGAGTTTCAAACTGACTACCAAGTGAGCTCATTTTGATGAGGTATGAGTTATCTGGTCTTTGTTCTGTTACCGTTTGTGGAAGGGCGATATATTCACATGACCAAATACTTGGTACTGTTCCAGCTAGTGCAGAACCAGCTGCACAATCGTAATCCGGTCTTCCCAGTATTAGTCTATCTATGTACTGGCTTTGAAGTACCGAGTTGCATGGCCACTTTGCCTCCAACATTTTGTTCTCTGTCATGCTTAAAGAGTGTCATAGATTCCACGCTTACTACGTCGTCTGTCGTTTCAGAAAGAAATCAGGTCGCGATAAGAACTTTGTCCATCATTTCAAACTGAAAACACGTGTTCCTGACCTCTCCATTTTTGCCTCAAAGCATTCTTATGTTAAGGTACAGCAAAATAAGTGTTTGCTGCATCACGCGGTGTGATTGACAGGATCTTATGTCAAGAATATTGTGTAGTTCATTCCTGGAATTGTTCCAGGCCTGCAGAAATTCATTTCGGTCCTCCTAGTTCCTGAGGTCTATGGCTCTCGAAATAGTACTTGATCGTCGTGGGGGACGACAGACGTTCAAAGTGAGGGCTTATGCGCACTCTCCGATAGCATGGTTACTATCACCACTGCTGTGTGTCATTCTCATGAACTTCTCTCGAAGAGCTGTAGAATTAGGCTGCAATTAAACGCAACTCAATTTCGTAAATGTGCCCTTCAGCTTATCAACCAATCAGAATGAGGCGGGAATTATTACATCCGCCATCTTCGTAAGCAATGGCGGTCGGCTTTCTTTGTTCTGTGCTTCTTTCAGCTATTTCTTTTGTGTAGCTACGGTATTTGATGTTTCAGTGTGATAAAATGCCGCAGTTAGTGTAATGTTCTATATGTTGGTGTGAAGTTTATTTCGGATCAGCGATGTTTTCTGGGTTTTTGCTGGTTCTACTCAAGTCAATGTATTTCTTCGGGCAATCTGGCTAGTCTTGTGTTATAAAATGTCGGCCGGCTTTCTTCGTTCTGTTTTTTTCCGCTATTTCTTTTGTGTAGATACAGAATTTGATGTTTCAGTGTGCTAAAATCCAGAAGTTAGTGTAATACTCTGAACGTTGGAGCAAAATTTTTCCTGATTTTGCTTTGTTTTCTGGGTTTTACCTGCTGCTAATGAAGTCACTGTATTTATTCAGCTAAGCTGGCTAGTACTAACATAAGACCTTACGTTTTTAAACGACAATCGGTTATGTTTTACCATGTTTTCTAGATATCCGAAGCCGAAGTTCGTTTTTATTTAGCTAAAATAATTGTTGCTGCCGCCTGTGACTCTTACTGTTCGCATGTTCTTTCCTAACTGTCCTTTATGATTTTATCGGCAAAATGAAAGGAAACAATCTGAGTTTTTTAATTTTCTTCGGTTTTATGGACAACACTATCCCACCAACGAGTCAAACTAATACAGAGTGCCCAGCAGTAGGGTATATCGTTACTGATTTCGAAAGGACCCAGATTTCCGACAACTATAGGTGAAGTCACAGATGCTACCAATCTATTGCAGAGGGTTTGTTATGAAAAATATGCCATATAACAGTAATAGAGGGGTTGTACTCATTACTCAGTGCGTTAAAGCAAGCTTAACATTGAAAAGGCGGAAATCTGCTACCAGTGTCTAGTGTATGTTTGCTGTTTTGGCCATAAAAGGAAGCCGAAGGGTCATGATCAGGGAGTAAAACGGTAATTAACTGTTATCAAGCTCACTTTTTTATAGATCATATTTCACCACTCGCAAATTTGTGTTTTCTTACGGTATGATGTCAACTGGTACCTAATATGTTCACCCTTACGATGAAAAGTACCTGCAAATTTTCACCTTCATATTCGAATTATTTTTGGACAACTGTCTTACAGTCTGAGTGCTTCGTACGCCCCGAGAAGCTCTATTTCTACAACATTCGTAGTTCCAGTATAACTTTCTCACGCAGTAAGTTCAAATTAGACACTAGTCTTTCTAAATAAGCCTGTTAAGCTAATATCCGTATTCTCTATTTCAGTTGATCGATGAAGACATGTACCACGTGCATCTGCTGTATACTGCCATTTTACTCCAATTCTAACTGTTATATCTTACTTTTGAATAATAAAATTGCTATATACTGCAAATACAGACTTATTTGTTTTGATGGAGGTATGGGGGTTCATGGGATTTTCACTAAAGAGCTAAGCGAGTGCGTAAACCAGTGTAAGGTACCATACGGCGTGCATTTTAGTTACTAGTGTTCCATTAGTGCGGGTAGGGGCATTGCTTGCTTGTCATATGGCATTTGAATTAGAAGCTATAAGATAAGACGCAGGTACGGTTAGGATGTGTAACGCGTGTCCATCCATCAGCTGGCGTGACAACCCATGGTGGTTAGAATAAGCTATGAGAGGACCCGAGTCTGTAGGTCTCTCAAGGAAATGACGAGGATACGCACCAAATCACCTTATGAAGAGCGCCTTCAATCACTTAACCTCTACTCATTACAGTATAGACGTCTTAGAGGTGACCCAATGGCTTACAATAACCTTAACACTCCTGGACATCCCCTAACACACCTAATTAAGCTTAGTTCCAACACTAACCTAAGGGGTAACACCCAGAAACTAGAGACACAACATAGCAGAACGGACTGTAGGCACAACTTCTCCTCCTTAAGAGTTGTCAAATGCTGGAATTTTCTGCCGGCCGAGCTAGTCCAAGCGACTTCGCAGGAGTCCTTTAAGAGGCAACTGGGTTTATTCTTAAGGACTAAGTATAGTATCATACTATGATTTACCAATTTCTTTTTCCTCTTTTATTGTTAACATACCTAGTTTTCTGCCTTGAGGTATTGGTGATCCCCTGCTACTAGACACGGAAGCCTGTTAAGCGAAAGCTTCTATTCAGTCCACAACCATTTGAACACATGAACTAGGTGCTGAGAGGCTCGCTTATCACAAGTTTCTTGCAACGATTAAGTAGATAAAACAAAGTAGCATTAGATTCAAAAATTTATTCAAGAACTTTCATTAAGAATCGAATATCAAACAAAGGTTTAAACCAAGTTCCCGTTTAAAAGTTGTATTGGTAATGTTAAGCTGCAGTTTTTGTTGTTTTTTTCCAAACGAAAGAGTAAAAGAAGTCACAAAATACTGGAAGTGGTTGTGAGACTAAAATGGAAGTCCAGCATCCTTTTTATAATCTGCTGTTCGTTGGATCTCCCGTAAACAGTTCCATAGGACCATAGTTCCAAGGGCGAAACAGTTTTTAGGGTCTGTGAAGGCTCACTCCTGTTGCATTCTAAATGAAAAAATGGTGATGAATTTAGTCAGAAATGTGGAATATATAAATAACCAAATCACATGTTTTTTAGCAAAGAATTTATGCAGTTGTGATTTACGTTGAGTTCATGAATATTAGATAAGGTCAGCTACTATTACTTGCGCAAAGCATAACATGGGCTTAGTACCGTATTGCAATGCTGTTATTATTTTGCTCCCATTTAAGTATTCCCATGCATCTGCGTCTAGTTTAACA